AAAAAAAAAAAAAGTTATTTTTAAGCTTGCAGTATGTAAATTGCCAAAACCCAATAAGCTATTTTATCAATATGTTTACAGTTAATTGAGCTCTTAGGTGATGCAGTTACAACAATAGGCAATAACCTACTGAACGCTAATCAGATATTTTTCTGTGGTTTGTTGTCTGAATATTTCAGTGATTTACTATTTCTTCTACTTGTTATATATTTGATGAATATGTATTGTACCCTAGTTCCTTCTCTGAAGACGATTTTTTCAGAAGCATGTTTGTAATATTTATTTCAAATATGGGGAAGACTGTAAGACTACTAATTTCTACAGCACTATCAGGTTTTGGGGCAGCTTGTGTCATTAGCAGGTTTGTTCTTTTGTCTTTTCTAGAAAATACAGATAAATTCTATTACATGATTATTTGACTTCACATCTGTAAATACAGGTCGACATATTTGAAGTACAAGGATCTCTTTTTCTACCTGTTTTACTCTATGACTATGTTTGCATCTTCTAAAAGCTACAAAATGATGTGTTGTGGTTGAATTCATTTTGTACAATTGTAAAACATTTGTGATTATTTTTCTTTTAGAATGCACTAAATGTCACCTGGCTCACCTTTAGTCTGAAGATTCTGTCAGAATTCCCTGTGAATCCCCACGCAGCAAAATGTATGTGGACTCTTACAGCCATCATCAGGGACATTTTGAAAGATAAAGTTTTACCTAAAGCAGGTACTGTTGCAAATTTATGGTGTTAGGAATATATGAGTGCCCGCTAGGGGGAGGAATATTACTTTTAAACTCCAGAGCCCTGGTCTGAAAATATGAATAGCACGGGGTTATTATCTTGGGTGAAAAGAGGGAGGCAAAGCACTACTAAAAATGCAGAGTTTTTAATGTTTTTTATATGCTTAAAAACTGAAAATAATCACAATCAGCTGTTTGCTGCTTACCTGATGAGAGTATTTTAGGTGATATAGTTGTCTGTGGTGTGCTTCAGCAAGTGTAACTCCGTAACATTCTCCTTTTGCTGTAGGTGTCTTGAAGAAGTTGCTGACTCCCCTTGATGCTGTGCTGGAAGGGTTTTATAATTCCATTTTGTGCCATCATTTTGACAGTCACCACTATACTTCAGCTTACTCTGAAGCCGCAAACAATTTGATCAGCTTCATAGATCTGCTTGAAGCTCTTTTGGCTTCCAGAATTGAGTTAGAAGTACCCCTGAGATGCCAGAGAGTGTTATTTTTGAAGGTTTCTTATGTCCTGAATTGCATTAGCTCATCAGTTCATTATTTATTCAAGAAGAAATTCATTATGCTCCTTAAAAAATGCATCCTTTACAAATCTAGAGAAGATTCTGTAAGTGGATCGGTGTCCTTACAAAAGCCGTGTTTATCTGAGGATGTTCTTGCACTGAGTAATGGGGTTCTGCAAGGTGTGAGTTTGACTTGGCTTAATCAGATCCCTCTTGGTGAAAAAACGAGCTACTTTGGAGGCAGCGAGCCCCATCCTGGAGATACAGCCCACAGTGGTCCTGACCAAACGCTTCTCAGAGCCCTAAGTCTAATTGTGCTTAAAGCCCTGGAATTCAAGTCTCAGAGCTCTGCCACAGAAGCTGAAGTCAAAGGTAAAATAGTCTTTTTGTTTTGTTCGAGCAGCAAGAGTCTTAATGAGCTGTAGCTAGAAATCTGAAAGTTTTACGACTGTAAATGGAATTAAGCTGAATTAGAAGTTATTGGCATGAAGAATTTGATTTTTCTGAAATTCAAGGAGCTGAATGTTAGAGAGTATGGGGTAGGAGGCAACCCACACAGAAAACTTACTACCACTGTCTCTTTGTGCGCTGCTTATTAATTGTCTCCTTGCCTTGGTCCTGGCATTAGCCTAGAGATGAGGGCGGTTGAAACAGCTGCATTTGGCATTGAAAACCCTTCTTTTTGAGAACATTTCCAAATATATGAAATAGAAGTACCAGCTTGAGGAAATGAGACTCCTTGCCAGCTGAAAAGAAGAGAGCCCATCAACGAAGCATTTACTCTGTGGATGGAGAACTACAGGAAGGGCACCTAATGCCCTCCTGCTTTCTAATGTGGAGGCAGACCTGTAAAGTACCATTATGTCTTTATCTTCGTAGACCATACTAGGCACTACTGTCGGACAAATGGTGTAAGAGAGCAGAAAATCCCAATTCTGGATGGGGGGAAAATAAAGGGAATCTGTGGAGTAAAAGACAGGAAAAGTCCCAGTATGGTTGGGTTGGCAGGGACCTCTATAGATCAT